TATCTTCTGTTCTGGTTTGATCTTCCTGATTAAATTTTGGTGTATAATATTCAACTCCAGACTTGTCCCTACTATTAAGTTGGCCATTTTCTTAGGTTTTGAACTCTTATTTCTATGTGTCTGTATTTAATTTTTCTGGTGTAGCACTCCCTTGCAAACTTCTTGGAGATCTGGCCCGGTGTTGGTAAGTTCTTTCGGTTTTTGTTTATTTGAGAATGTTCTTGTCTTTTCTTCCGGTATGAAGGATAATCTTGCTGGGTACAGTATTCTTGGTGGAAATTGCTTTTCCCTTAACACTTTGAATATATTTTCCCATTCTTTACTTGCTCACATTGTTTCCAATAAGAGGTCTGCTGTTAGCCTGATGGGATATACTTTGTAGGTAATTTGACATTTCTCTCTTGCCAATCTTAGTTTCTTGTCTTTATGGGTTGATTCTATTTGGGGTCCTTTGTATTTCTTGGGACTGGATCTTTGAATGTCTTTCTAGGTTTGGAAAGTTTTCTTACAGGATTTCATGGAATAGATTATCAATGCCCTTATGAGTATCTTTGCCTTGTGGGATACCAATTATCCAGATGTTTGTATGTTTGTTGGTATCTAGTATTTCTCGTATATTATTCTCATTTTGGGGGCAATTTTCTCAGTCTTCATGGTGGATTTTTCTAGGCCAGCGTTTCTATCTTCTACATCTGAGATTCAATTTTCTGTAGGATCTAGTCTGTTTTTAATACTTTCAAGGGAGGTTTTTGACTTCCTGTATTGTAGCCTTTATCCCTAACAGGTTCATCTGATTCTTTTTTATAGAGTGTATTTCCTCTTTTAGATCTTGAAAGAATTTCCTCACCTCCTGGAACTTCTCAGCTCCTTTATCCTGCCTCTTCTGGTGTTCATTGTCTCTCTTCTCTTTCATCTCTTTTAGCTTTGTCACTATGAATATTCTAAATTTTTTTTATCAAATATTTCCATGAGTTTCATTGTACCATCTCATGGGGTCATGAGATGCATGTACATGATCCCAAATTCCCTCAACCCTCTCAGCTGACACAGGTTGTTTCAGATACTTCCTTAAATAGGTTTCCTTACCTGGATGTGTCTAGAAGTCATGGTAACAGACACAGTGAGAAAACACAATTGATGTAGACCTGAAATTGAGCACTGTTCTTGGTTCTATGAAAGGAGTTATTCTTTGTCCTTGGAGGAGAAGTATTTTCTTGCTTTTCCATATTTCTTGTGACCCTGCAGTGATTTCTAGTCATCTGATGCATCAATGGTGCGTTTCAGTCTGAGCGTTCAGAGGCATGGAGGAGGAGGTAATCTGCAATCTCTCTTCCATTCCGTTTCACTCTTTGTGCATCAGATTCAGTGAGAATAGAGGAATATTCTGACCATAATCATATTTAGATGTTTGGATCCCATTCAGTTGGAACTGTCTAGACAGTGCATAGAGGCTGAGCAGCCAGTGAATAAAGATAACAAAAAAGGAAGAGAATTGGAGAAGAGGAAAGAAGAAAAAAAATAAAATAAAAGAGAAGAAAAAAGATGATAAAAACTTTAGATTTTAATTTTAAAAAGCAAAAAATGAAAACTGCTCGCCACACCAAAGCTGTATTTCACACCTCAAGTTCAGTATCCATCTGAGGATAGGCCTGGCCTAGATTTGTGCCTTTCCTAAATGGAATAGGGAAAGGCACAATTAGTACAATAAAGGAGGGGCTTGAGAGCCCAGAGAATACTTTACCTTAAAGAAAAATTAAAAGTCACAGAGAGACACAGAGAGACAGAGATAAATGGAGGAGACAGAAGTAACCCTACCCACTAGAAATGAATCTAGAGGGAGAAGTCTCAGCAGAAAATCTTCATTTTTAGTAAAGGAAAGCAATATTTCACAGCTCAAGTTTGGTATCCTTCTCAGAATCTTTTAGGTTTTTGCTATAAGGCACGTGTGCTTGTTGGAAAGAGACAGAGGAAAAGTGAGAAATCACCCCTTGGGGGGATGACCATGCCACAATCCCTTCTTCTTTATTCTTCCATTGGGATTTTGAGTATACATACATGCGCCCCATGTAATTTTCAAGCTATAGGGTCTGGGACTTGAACAGCGGGGTCAGTCATGTGAGAGTCCAGTGCCTTAACCATCACATCACCTGCTGGCCCCACATATTAGAATTTTTGTAAATTAAGCTTTCTTTTAAGGCTAGTATATAGGGCTGGAGAGGCACTCCTTGCACATAGGTGGTCTAGATAGGTGTGGGGGGACCACCCTGATGGAGCCAGAGTACCTCCTTAACCACGAGATTTTATAACATAGAATATGACTATAGTGTGTGGTATGGTGCAGTACTCTCATGCATGTACATGACCCCAAATTCCTGCCCTCAACCCTCTCAGGCTGACACAGGTTGTTTCAGGTACTTCCTTAAATAGGTTTCCTTACCCGAATGTGTCTGGAATTCATGGTAACAGATGCAGTGAGAAAACACAATTGATGTAGACCTGAAATTGAGCACTGTTTTTGGTTCTATTAAACTAGGTGGCAATTTATTAAGTTAAATAAAATTCTAATTCAATTATGTATCAACATGGGAAAATATTGACTTACCTTCTTTTCCTGTTGGAAACTTAAGGAGTATTAAATGTTTATATTTTGAAGGAGTTTGAACAGCTTTCCATAGCAATTTCTTGCAAGAATGGCTAGAGAAGACAAAATTCTTTCCAGCATATGCCTGAGTGAAGATCAGTAGTTTGAGCACAGGCTTTGGCAAAGTGTTTGCTAAACTGAACTATTTTATTCTAAAGGAAAAAATCTCTCTCTCTTCTCTTTCTTAAATTATATGATTATAAAAATTATAATTAAGGTGTAGAATTGTTTATGCACTGTGTACTGTTGACAGTCCATCTGGAGTGACCCCTTGTCGAAATCACAGCCACACTTTTTGGTTTTTTTGGAGAGGTTTTTTTCGCTATAGGGCGCATGCGCTCGCCAGACAGACAGAGAGAGACAGAGAGACAGAATGAGAGAAATCACCCCTCAGGGGGGATGGTCACGCCGCAATCCCTTCTCCTCCATTCTCCTCTCGGGATCTTGGGCACGCACACACATGCACCCGGCGTGAGTTTTAAGCCACCGGGTCCGGGACACGAACCGCGGTCGACTACATGGGAGTCCAGCGACATAGCCATTACGCTAACTGCTGGTTCCCATCACAGCTACACTTTAAGAATAAGCTGAGGTGTAGTGGATAAGCTCTTGACTCCCACATGGTTAACCAGGTTCAAGTCTCAGACTGGGTGGCTTACTTTCTCACTTTATCTCTCTGTCTCTTTGTAGTCAAAATAAATAAGTAAAATTAAAATAATTATTTTAAAAAAAGAATAAGCTGAAACTTTGCCTCTACTCTAAAGTTTTTCTGGCTCTCTGTACTTTCAAATATGGAGCTTCTGCCACCAATGAATAGTCATTTTTGTCTCCTTGACTCCTCTGAGATCCATGAGGACAGGCTGTAAGCTACTTAAGTGCAGATAAACTAAAGTTATGATGTATTTTTACGTAGAAAAACATAGAAAAGTACTCATGACTTTTCCAACAATGCAATACATTTAAATTCTTTAGACTTGAGTGTTGGGCAAGATTAAAGCCGTTATATCACAACTTCTGAACTTTTAGATGTCTAGTTACATTTCTTGCTGCTATTATTGTCCTTTCTCTCTGTTGAGTCATATAAAGTACTTGGGCTTTCAGTTCCTTGAATGCATTTTAGTACATTCCACTTGGTTTTGCAGAACATTCCTGATTGGCATAGTACCTTATACAAAGTATGGTGATTGCTTAAAACTGTTGTCGAGGGCTGGCTTCATAGCTCAGTGGTTAAGCACTATGCATTGGGAGCTAAATCCCACATAATCAACCATGGTTCAAACCCTGCCTCCCAGTGGGTTGAAAAACATGCAAGGCACATGTGTATGCATGCCTAAAATCCTACCAAGATGGAGAAATGGTAGAAAAGGGATTGTGATGTGATCACACCCTGGTGGGGAGTGCTTTTTGTCTCTCTGTCTGGTGAATGCACATGGCTTCTGGTAAGAAAAAAATGCTTTTGCGTCAGCCCATGACCTGGTGGTTCAGGGAGCTGGATCCTACATGGGGACTTCATGGTTTCAGTCCTAGACCAGGCAACTTTAAAAACATCCTGGGTGCATGTGTGCATATGCCCAAAATCCTGAAAGGAGAAATAGAGAAGAGATTGTGGCATGACTATTTCCCATGGAGGTGCTTTCTCCCTATCCATCTCTCTCTGGACAGTGTGTATACCCTCTGGCAAATTAAACAAATACAAAGAAAAGAAGAAAGAAAAGAGAAAACAAAAAGATGGTGAAAGAAATAATGAACACAGTAATTATTTTAGATGAAAATATTTCTGTTTCTTGAAACATTTACCTCTTCAGCATTTATTTTCATCAAGATCTGTGTAGTGTCTCACACTTTGGAAGAAATAATAAAATGGGCCCATTTCTTCTCCTGATCAATTTGCATGACTATCCAGGACCTATGCCCCTAATGACCATAGAAACACAGAGACAAATTAATAGCAATAAAAGATACATTGATTGGTTTAATAGGGAAGACCAAATTTAGACCTAGGTTATATAGGGGTCAAAGAGGCCTGATCTTCACTGGAAGGCTGCATATTTGATGATGGGTGAGTATCAATGGTTGTAGCAGGGAGTTCCTGCTGATCCTACTACCTGCTGGTGGTCATCACAAAGTTCCTGGGGGCTGCTGCAAGACCATGGAGGGTCCTTGAAGCCTCTCTACTGACCCTTGACATTTAAGTCTCTTTTCACCCTGACAATACTCCCAAACAACACAGAAGGCAGGCCTCTTACATTTAGTTTCCCTGTCAATAAGGGGTCTTTAATCTGTTTTAGCATGAAAAATTCATTAAGAATGTACTATTATTTCATCAGTGAAATCTTCAAATTTTAAATTAAATCCATAGGTCTGGTTTAGTAACCGCCGAGCAAGATGGAGGAAGCAAGCTGGGGCCAATCAACTCATGGCTTTCAACCATCTCATTCCGGGGGGATTCCCTCCCACTGCCATGCCGACTCTGCCAACATACCAGCTGTCGGAGACCTCTTACCAGCCCACATCTATTCCACAAGGTATAGAAGAAGAGAGCCAAGGAGATTAAAATGTAACTTCCAATTGCTTTCTTGGGTGGATGTTTGATACAGTGAAATCCTTCTGCCATGCTGACATCAATGTTGTTTGTATGTTAATTATATTATGTCAGGTTGTCTTGAATGGTCTTGTCACATTTCGGAAATGCAGTTTGTTCTTTGACGTATCTGAGTCTCTCTAGATAAACTGTGTTGTGATATAATGCTATTGCAGTATTTTAAAACAAAGCAACCCTCCTAAATAAACATGGGATTTGCTGTCTTTTGTTAAAATGCTACCTCTATGTTTGTACTCCAGTTTGCAGCTAACTGTGAGAGTTGTTAATGGCAGTAATCACAAAGGGAAGGTGGGCTTTGATAAAGTCACTATTTGTTAGCACACAGAGGTGAAGGGGATGTTGCTAAATTGTAAGACTCCATTATTTTGGATTATGAATAGCATTCCAGGTATTTGAAACCATACTATTACACTAATATTTAGGTGCTTTTAAAGTATATTTGATGAGGGGCCAGCAGATGGCATAGTGGTTAAGGTTCTGGACTCCCACATGGCTGACCATGCTTTGAGTTTTGGATCTGGTGGCTTGAAACTCAAGCCAGGCATGTGTGCATGCATGCCTAAAATCGTGAGAAGAGAATGGAGAAGAAGGGATTGCAGTGCGGACATCATCCCTGGTGGTGGTGGGGGTTGGTTTATCTCTCTATCGCTCTGTCTCTGTCTCTCCAGTGAGTGCACAAGCCTGATAACAAAAATCTCTCTCTCAGAAAAAGTATATTTGATACATAATTTGAAGCTTGGTATTCTTACCTTGGTTACCTCACATATTGGTTAATTCTCACTGTTATTTATAACATTTGCTACCAAAGTAGGCTTGCTAGCATTGTTATGTAATTTCTGTATTTGTATTTCAGGTGAGTATGCCCTGAAAGTATATACCTAAGTTATGTCCTTGCAAATATGTGCATAGTAGATGTGACCATATTTGTTATGAGTGGTTCCATACCCACATGTCAAGAAATGCAGTTTGAAATTAACATTTGATCTGACCAGTAGATGTTACCGATGGCTTGGTGACTTGAGATCTTTTGTACTGAACTTTCTCTGCTGGCCTATGAGGAACTTTATGGCTGACAGTCTTCTTCATTTCAGCCGTGTCGGATCCCAGTAGCACCGTTCACAGACCTCAACCGCTTCCTCCAAGCACTGTACACCAAAGCACTATTCCTTCGAACCCGGACAGCGGCTCTGCCTACTGCCTCCCCAGCACCAGGCATGGATTTTCCAGCTATACAGACAGCTTTGTGCCTCCGTCGGGGCCCTCCAACCCCATGAACCCCGCCCTTGGCAATGGCCTTTCACCTCAGGTCAGTCCCGTGTTTCTAGACAGACGATTTGCTGTATAGCAGAACCAAATAGTCAATTCCCTGAGGCAGAAGTATAATGAATTGCCAAATTTAAACCATAATGTATTCTTTATACAAGCCACATGATTTCAGTTTTCTAGTTTCCTTTCTCTCCACCCTTCCTACTGACTGCATCAAAAGTTGTAGCTTAGATTTAAAATTTGAGTACTTTTAACTGTAATCAGGGAGACTTGTGTTTATACTTAATTGTCAAGGCATTTATCATGTGGTGTTTTCTGGGCCCCTAGCTCTGGTTAAGGAGCTCTCGCACGCTAGCAGGTTTCGTTTTGCTTTCTGTTTTAAATGGTATTTGGTCAGCCAACGGGATTGTGAGCAAATGCACCTTAGAGGAAAACATCAGAGCTTTGACAAAACAATCGAGAGGAAGCAAACAAGTCCTGTGGAGAGTCGCAGCTGATAACCACAGACCTCTGGAATAAATGAGTTATAAATGCACAAATGACCAGAATTGCCGCTCTTTGGGAATATATAAATATTTGAACGTTGTAATTGTTTCTCTAATTTGCATTGGACTATGAGTTTTTCTTGGGAGATCATATTAATAAATTGCCTTGATAATTGCATGTCAGAGGGTTGGTTAAATTTCCTACATGTGGCATCTGTCTGAGGTTGACATTATTAGCAGTTGTTTAAATACAGATCGCTTGATTTTATTAGAGAGCATTTGGCCCAGGTGGTGAGGATAGCTGCCCACTAAATTTGGAGAAATGTCACAAAAGGGCTGCAATCTATAATTGCAATCGAGGATCTCTTCGGGGCTGAGAGTGAGAGTTTGAACAGCTTTATCTTTTCTCAGCCCCCTTTTTCCTCTTGGTGGTTAGCAAAACAGAGAGAAGCTCCGAATGACACAAATGAAAAGTGAAAAGACAATTATACTCAATTACACACTAATCACTGACTATCACCGCTGCCTAAGCACCAAGAGGGCATTCTAATAGGCAGAAAATGAGATTTTAATGGCACAAAGGGTGGCCAAAATAACGACTCGTATATCTTTGCCTTCTTCGTTTTCTGCAACTTGTGGTGTGTGTCTTGGGAGTGGAGTTCCTGGGCTCTGTGCAACGGTGATAACTCTGAGCAGCTGAAAAGTTCAAAGCCGTTGGAGTTGAAAAGAATGGATAGCAAAGGCAATGAAATAAACATTTCTGCCTAAAGGCAAAAGTTCATAAATCCTTTTTTGTAACAGTAAATGTAATTAAGTTTTATAGATTCCTATTGCACATCCTGGGATTAAAAAAAAAAAAAAAAAAGAGGTGACTTTAAACCTCAGCTGAAAAATCATAACATGAAAACAATGAAAGTGCTTCCTACAGGACTTTAATACATTTAATTTCCGAGTGCTGGCATTTGTGAATGTGATTTTGCGTGAAAATCATGAACTTAATTGATAGAGTCATCTTGAAAATGTCCAGATTCCTAGCGTATAAGCTTCTCCTAGCATTTAGAAGTAACATCAGAAGTAGTTATCTCTGTGATTTTTAACTTTTGTAGTTAGGGGCTGTAGAAAAGCCTTTTATGAACATGACTCAGTTGAAAGTTTTAATACAAGTAAACTCCAGCCCTAGCTACTTCTGTAAGGTGAGAGCCAGAAGTCCAACAGCATTTCTTAGTACCTTATTTTATTAGATCATAGTAAAAATAACACAAACCTGTGCTCTATAAATGAAACTGCTAGTTTCTCATGTCATTAAGTGTATTATCTTGTATGTTGTGATAAGTATATTACACTGTATTATATAAGTTCACATCAGTGGAATTGCTAAAACCTGATCTTCAAATTTTTAATCCTCGACTTTAAAAATCTTGGCTAAGTAGAGAGGGTGATAGAGAGGGAATCATTTTAATGTCAAGCAGTGGAAAATTCCACAGGCAATTTTTTCTGTATTTCTCCACTGTATCTTCCATATTATATTAATTTCTTACCTAGTACATTGCAAACACCCAGGCTAGGTTGCATTCCTGTTGTAACACAGAAATAGATTCAGACCATGGTGCACAATCCATGCTGTATTAGTTCTTGTAGCATCTGCGATGGGTTAGAAAACAAAGAATATGAAGTTTCTCCTTCTATCCTCAGGTAAAGTTGGAGAACAGACAGTGAGCGAATCGGTATCTTGCTGATCCTACTGTAATTTTTTATTTTTTGAGAGGTTTTTGCTATAGGGCATGTGCGCTCACCAGAAAGACAGAGAGAGAGACAGAGAGACAGAAAGCCAGAAATCGCCACCTGGGGAGATGGCCACGCTGCAATCCCTTCTCCTCCATTCTCTTGGCATCTTAGGCACACACGCACACATCTCCAGCTTGAGTTTAAGCCATCGGGTCTTTGACTTGAACCGCAATCAACTACATGGGAGTCCAGTGACATAGCCATTATGTCAACTGCTGGTCCCAACCCTACTGTATTTATAAAGCAACTGAGTAGGAGAATGGGATTAGAACACAGACTTCTATAGCCTTTGGATTTATCATTTCCAGGAATTTATTTATTTATTTACCTACTTACTTGTTTACTTATTTTTAATTGCCAGAGAGAGAGAGACAGAGAGACAGGGAGAGAGAGGAACTGTCCTTACCACCACCCTCAATGTGGTGTGGTCATGCTACAGTTCCTTCAACTCTGTTTCTCCATCCTGTTGGGATTTGGGGCATGCATGCACATGTACCTGGCATGTTCTTCAAGTTTCTGAGGCCAGGATTCTCACTGTGGTAAGCCATGGGGGATCCCGCTCTTTTACCTTCTAGTTCCAGGGCTGGCCCAGAAATACATTAATTTTTTTAAAATAATTATTTTTATTTAACTTTATGTATTTATTTATTTTAATTTGACCAGAGAGGGACAGAATGAGAGAGAGAGAGAGTGAGAAAGCAAGTCGCCAGGTCTGAGACTCGAACTGTGGTTGACCATGTGGGAGTCTCATGCCCTTAATCAGCACTCCACTTGCTGGCCCCAGGAATGTCTTAATTTAAGCAAGAGGCACCTACACTATTTTTGGCTGTCTGGTTTTATGAAAAATATTGTAAAGATGGGACCATCAGATGTGTAATGGTTATGTCTCTGGACTCCCATGCAGTTGACTATGGTTCGAGTCCCAGATCTAGCAACTTAAGACTCACGCCAGGTGTGTGTGTGTGCATGCGTGCCCAAAATCCTGAGAGGAGGAGAGAAGAGACTGTGGCATGGCCATTGCCCCCTGGGAAAATATTGTAGAGAAAAATATGAAGAAAAAGACTCATATCGTATAACCTGGTTTACCTATAAATTAAAGAAGAGACTAAAGAAAGGGTGATGAAACTTTCATCACTATTTATTAAAAAGAAATGCTTCTTAATATATAGGATCATATACTATCAGCAATAGAACTAATCTTATGATTGCCATATCGCTTCTTTTCCTTATACTTTTCCACCTTCTCTTTCTTTGGTCATCTAATATGCAGACAGAACAATTGAGGCCCCTTATCTGTTGCTGGTTACAGGACTGATAGTGAAAGAACTAGGACAAGAATCAAGGATTCTGGGCTCCTAGTCTTGGATCTGGTCCATTATAACACACAGTTGAGTGTAGAGGAAACAGGTTTCAAGACAAAACAGGAGCAAGGGGTTTATTTATAAATATTTCAAAATCATTTAATAGAGACTAATTTTCTAATCTTTTAGGTCCATATTAATTTACATCCTTTTTACTAAGCTTAATTTTTTTTTTTTTGAGAAATTTTTGCTATAGGGTGCGTGCACTTACCAGAAAGACAGAGAGAGAGACAGAAAGACAGAAAGCAAGAGATCACCCCATGGGGGCATGGCCACGCTGCAATCCCTTCTCCTCCATTCTCCTCTCAGGATCTTGGGCACGCACGCACACGTGCCCGGCGTGAGTTTAAGCCACCGGGTCCGGGACTTGAATCGCGGTCAACTACATGGGAGTTCAGTGACATAGTCAGTATGCTAACTGCTGGTCCCCTTACTAAGCTTAATTTACATTAATTTTTAAACTTCTTCCAATAATAACAGCACTGTATTGAGACCAGAGGTTTTTGCTATAGGGCATGCGCACTCACCAGAAAGACAGAGAGACAGAAAGCGAGAAATCGCCCCCCAAGGGGGATGGCTGTGCTGCAATCCCTTTTCCTCCAGTAGTGTATATATCTTGCCTTTTCTCTGTCTTCACAAGGTGTTATAGGCCTTTCCCGACCTATTAATGTAAGCCACATTGGATCTAAAGGTTTTTAAGTCATTATGATCAACCCATTGCAGATTTCTTTAGTGGAGGATATTTGAAGTGGTTTAAATAGTAATGCATTTTATTTGACTTTTCCCCTAGTATCCTTGATATCCTTGATATATAATGTAGTATTTACCATTTGGACTGTTTCTCTCTCTCTCTCTCTTTCTCTGTGTGTGTGTGTGGATGAAAGTTGGTCTCAGTGGTTATGGGAGCTGGATCCCACATGACCTAGATGACCTAGTGTGGTTTGAATCCCAATCCCTGGTGACTTGAAAAATGTCCCAGGTACATGTGCATGCATGCCCCCAATCCTGACAGAATAAAGCAATGGAAAAGAAGGGATTGTGGTGTGCCCATACTACACCGTTGTGGGGGGTACTTTCTCCCACCCTTCCCTGCTCCCTCCCTCTCTCTCTGTCTCTCTCTGGAGAGTGCATGCACACTCTGGCAATGAAAAAGAATAATAAATAAATGTATTATTTACTATTCAGATGAGGAAATCATGAACTAGAATGTGTGTGAGCCATTATAGAATAGGTTTTTTTCTTTGTGTTTCTTATCAAAGAATTAGAAGACATAAGGATAGTCAAATCATGTATGTGTGTGTATGTGTGTGTGTGTGTGTGTGCATGTATGGATTGAAGTCAGTTTTAGTTTGGGATTTCTCACATATCTGTTCCCTCAAGTATTCTGTTCTCTCATGAGCCTATGATCA